TTTACATATCCGTTCTGAAATGCTGATTTGTCCCTAAAGACTCCACCCGGCGGTCCTGCTAGTCATTACCGCCGAAATGAAGAGCAAACCTCGACTCTTTTGAAGGGCACTGTGAAGTCTTTTCAAAGTGTCACCTTAAAGACAGTGTCAAAGCACTCTGCCTTCTCCTGGGCTGAATAAATGAAAGCCACATTAGAAAGAGCTGTTTGGTGTTAGATGCTGGGAAATCACACTTGAACTGCCGTGTGGCCTACACTGCTAATGCCTACGATTCTGTATGGAGGCAGGTGATGACATGCTTGTCCAAACACACAAATCATAAAGAAACTGAAAGCAGTCAGGCATGCCACTGTCGTGGGACTATCCCCATCAGATGCATTACTAGCTTTCAGTCCTTCAAAAAGTTACTATAAAATACGGTCACAGAGTCACAAAGCAGAGATCCATTTCATTTTAGAAGCCCATGTTTCCATTTTCAAGGCTATTTCAAAATAGCTTTTATTTGTACATTAGCTGTGTTATGAAACCAATCTGTGGTTTTAAATTTCAAATATCAAGTGCTTGGATGACAGCAATAATGCTTTTTTCAAATGTTTCATTCAGAAATTATTCAAAGCTTGTGAGCGGTGTCTTTTGGCTTGTAATAAATACTTCCATTTTACTGAACTGTCTACAGAAAGGAAGATTTCAGCTAAAATCACATTAGCACCATTACAAAAGCTGCTTTTGCAGAGCGCCTAGCTCTCCTGGGTCAGATTCATTGTGTGGCTCTGTATAATTCATAAAGTATATAAATGAATGGCTAAATGCACAGGCAATAGCACACAAGTGAGAGACTTTATCCTTCACTAGCTTTTAGACCAATGTTCAACAAGTCAAAAGAAAAAAAAATCAATCCCTTGAAGAAACTGTACAAATACAAAACTGTATTATTTCTTCCTTGCTGCTTACATCTTGTGATCAGTGCAACGGTTTGTTTTACTATGGGATTAAACACATTTTTACCTGATTTCGACTTGTAGCTGATATCATTCACATTTAATATCTTACATACAGCATCCATGATGCACTTGTATAATATGCTAAGGACCCTAAATTTCATATCAAGCTCGGGAAACATGTTTTTTCTGCTGAATCCAAATGCTCTTAACGACCAGGCTTTCTCCACACCTTTTTTTTCCACCTCACTGCATAAATGTCACACTCCTTTTTGCATTAACACTGAATCATGGCAGTAAATCGAAATAATATGCAGTACAATAAGGACTTCCTGGGGATAATCCTTATTCCTGTGGATGCAGAGTTTTTGTGCCCTTGGTGTCATACCAGTAATTTAGTTTTGTACCAAAGGCATGCTCAACCCTTTCCAGATCAGAAGGTTTTAAAAAGGATTTTAGTGTCAAGATTGTTCTGAGCTCAAAGAAGCTGCTCTTGACAACAATTGTTTTTAAAGTGGTAACATTTCGAATTGTTGATGCGTCTTCTTTTGCTTATCTGGGGCTGGTCACGGGG